ATTTTTCCAAAGATATAGCATGCATTTATCAATAACTTTGTAATGAATAGATTAATCATTAAGAAAGCCTCATATCTGAATTTGTTGGCTTAGTTTTACTTTGTGATTGAAGGTTTTAATATGGCATAAGAGGAACAAATGGGGGAAAGCCCCAGATCTTTTATAACAAACCTCACCTTCACAAGAATAGCATGCTCATATTCTCCTCATAACTATTATTCCTCCTCATAAGTAATATTTCTAATACATCGTGTCAAAAAACATACCCAGTGTTTTCCTAAAATTTTTCTTCTACACACCTCTTTCCCCCATGCTGTTCAACCAAATTCCTTTCCTCTCATCTTTTTCATTTTGGTTCATGGCACTACTGTCTACCTGACCATTCTGTTTGGAATTCTAATTATCCTCAGCTCTTCGTCAACTCCTATATTCTGCTGATTGTGTCATTACTTATTTTCTTCAAACAGAGATTAGAATTCATCCCTTTTCTCTGTCACCACTGCTACTGTTTCATGAAGAGCTCATCATAATCTTGCAACTATTCAGTTCCTAACAGTTCAGTTTTCTTCATTTAAAAAACAGTGTAACTTTTCAAGAAATGCCTGTTAAAAACCTGTTGCTCTCCAAGTTCTAAATCTTTAGGATGGTATACAAGACTCTGACAGTTTGAAGCTTGCTTTCTTCTTTACTTTTGATTCTCATAATACATTTTTGATCTTTCCAAAGTATGTGTTCTCTCACTTGTTCATCCATCCATTCACTCATTTATCCATTCACAAACACAGTTACTACCTGCCACCTGTGCTGTTAGGTACATGAGGACAGAGAGGTAAATACAACAGCCATGACTTTCTCTTCAGTGACTTTGGAATGTTATATCCATGACCATGCTATTCCATCTGCCATTTTCCATTTATAGAGTTTTTCCTAGTCTTTTCACTATACTCCAGTGCATCTTTTTGTTCTCTGATTCTCACAGGGTGGTTGTTCTGTCCATCCCAGCAGCTTATATTCCTGTGTCTACAATAGAGCTCAGTGCTTTTCAATATGCTGCCTTGTTTAGACTTGAATTTCCCACCAGGCTGAATTTCACAGAATGGAAGGAGGAAGATAAAAGAGTAATATAGGAGTAAGTTGGGGGCAGGAGATAGGAAAGGACTGAAGAGGAGTTAAGAAGACAGGAGAGACAGTGTGAGCACTGGTAGAAAGCATAGCTTCTAGCAGCTTTGGATTCTGACTGGGCATGGTTAATGTCCCTACAGATCAGTTTATGATGGGGTTGATCAGTGGATCTTTGTGAAAACTGAGTTAGTCACAGATATATACTGTATGTACTTACTGCTGCCAGTCCCTCCATTTTCATTGCCCCTCCTTTACATGTCATACCTGACCCAGCTTTGGGTAGACTGTAATGCCATACTCTGTTCTACTTACGATATGCCTGACTTTCATGAATAATGAAAAGCTAACAGATAAAAGCACTAATCACTCACCTGTTAGTGACCTCATTTTAAACAAATGAGCTCTGCTTAAAGAATCTTGGGGAAGATCACATGGTAGATTCTACTTGAGCAGTGGAGGGGAAGTAGGTCATACTTCACAGGGGATGTTTGAGATTTAAGTTCAATCTACTCATACTTGTGAGATACTAGGCATGCAAAAACATGGTCCTGTTTAACTCCAGATGACTAGTGCTGTGATGGGTAATGGAGTTGTGAAAGACAGTGAGATTGCTGAAAGTGGGAGTTCAAGTCTCCCCTGGGTGGTGATGTATATTCTCTTGACTAAACTCTATTTAGTATGACAGCTCATTATAACAAAATCACATGCTGCTTATCTTGTCTAAGTTCTGTTAGTTCATAAGATGTGGTCTCAGAAACCATAGCTTCCATAGAAGCACATTTGACCCTTTAGTGATGGATCTTGGCCTTCCTAAGTGGAGATCCTGTTCTTTTCTAGTCATAGTCTGTATGATGCTGGGTTCTAACTGCCTCCATCATATGTGTAGAAAACGGGAGTTATGTATAGAACAGTGCTTGGTGTATGGCAGATAGTTCAGGAATTCCATTGTATGAATGGAATGATATGAGAGATGGGACAGTTATTCCAGGCAAGAGGGAAAGGACAAGCCAAACCCAAAACTATGTTCATCATGAGAGAACAGACTAGACCCATTTGACTGAAGTGTGTGTTGGAAGGAGAGGCTGGTGTGTAAATGCCAGATAAGGGAATCAGTGTTTAATAAGAAAGGTCTAGCAAAGCTTTGAGAGATTATAATAGTACATGCTGTTATGAATTTAACAATTTTTATATTTAAAAGTAGTTTCTAATCAGTGCTAAAATTTTTAAAACAATTCATTTGTTAACTATGTTTTAGATTTTTTTCTTTTAAAATTCTTTCAATATACTTAGAAAAATTTGAAAAGTTTTTGAATGAATGCTGTTGAATAAATTGAAAAATTTGAATTTTGTAGGTTTTCTTACAAACTATTTTTAATTATGACACTTTAAAAGTAATTGGAATTAGCAATCTATGTAGAGTATACTGGGAATTCCCTTCTTGTTCGCAGCTTAGAGAAAGCAGGTGCTGACGGCTGTGACTTTCTTTTCTCTAGTCTCTCCAGAGGCAGTCGGATTTTTGTCAGCTGTTGGGGTCTTTATTGTCTTGATGCTGCTCCTTTTTCTCTATATTAATAAGAAGTTCTGTTTTGAAAATGTTGGAGGGTTTCCAGATCTTGGTTCAGGATACAACACACGGAAGAATTCACAAGATAAAATGTGTAAGTATCACATCACCACTTCTTTGTACTATTCCTTGTTTTAGTAGGTTCTGTGAGAAGGCTGACTTTGACACCTGCTAAACTTAACATTGGAACCTTTACTTTGTAAGAATGAAATGTCCATTAAGTAATTATGTTCAGGTCTCCTGTTGCCTCCAGATTGTTATGCTACTACATAAAGGTGGTTGTCTCTTGTTGCAAAGTAGTGTTTTTACTTTTCATGTATAAGGCATGGTTTTGAGCTTATACTGTGAGTAGATAATACTTTAAGGAAAAAAGAAAAGAAAAAAGAAAGAAAGAAAAAAAAAGGCCTGGTCCGTTATATACACAGCTTTCCAGAGAGCTCTCCCAGTCTCCTCATTAAGCTTTTGATGCCCCTGATCCTTTGCTTTACCTGTATTTTCATTCTTGGCTGAGGAGTGATGTTGTTGCTGGAGGAGCTATTTTTCCACACCGTGCTCTGTCCCAGAACCACACAGGGATTGTGTGCTAATGTCCCTAGATCCTAGGAAACTTGAGGACTGTAATACTATATTTTCCCACTTTAGAGAAGCTTTCAAAAATATTACCAGAGCTTTTCATTTGTTGTTTCAAATATTGGCCAATATAAATGGTAGTGGAGGAAGTTGAGAATAATTAAGCTGTGTGTTAATTTTGAGAGTTTTGAAGAATGAGAGCAGAGGAGCCAGGCTTTCCTATACATATGCTGGAGAATGCTTTCTCTGCTGTTAAGCTAAATGGTGGCAACCCCTCATTTATAAAGATCTGTTAATTGCTAAATTATATGTTGATGTCTGTGTTAGAAACTGTGTGGTTCTGACTTGGTTTTGCGTTTCTCATAGTCCACTACAGCCCTGTATGTGTCACTAAATTTTGTGTGAATGAACTGCTTAAAAATCTCTCTCTCTCTCTCTCTCTCTCTCTCTCTCTCTCTCTCTCTCTCTCTCTGTGTGTGTGTGTGTGTGTGTGTGTGTGTGTGTGTGTGTGTGTGTGTGTTTATCTGTCTCTGATCTGCCTGTCTTTCCCTCCTGCTCTCCTCCTCTCCTTCTCTCCACCATGCTCCCAACAGCTTTCTGAAATTCTCTGGTTCAGCTTCCCTAGATTTTCTTTTATGTCTTCAAATTCCAAAGAGCTTTTGTTGGTGTAAGTTACCTCTGTCAATATGTGCCATATTAGATAGTAAATGGAGAAAATTAAATTATCTGTTACCAACGTACTTTTCTTTTTGTTTTGAGTAAAAAGATTTTTGCTGGGGATTGAACCCAGGTTTTTACATATGTTATGCATGTACTTTGTTGGTGAGCTACATTTTCAGCCTCTAGTAATTTAAACAAGAAGTATCAGCTATTGTTTGAGAATATAAATAACATCTTAAAGATTCTTAAAAGAATTTTTCAGGCAAAAAGAAAAAAATGTACAGAATAGTGACATTGCTATATACATTTCATATAGGTCCATTAGGACTGGCACAATAGTAATCAACTTGATTCTAGTGTCTGCTTCTCTGTTAGGTCTGTCTCTCACCTGTGGGAAGCCCCAGTTTGCACTTGCAAGGAAGGCAAGTGAAAATGTTAAACAACCCCTTAATGTTACTGTTCAAGTAGTGTGATCTTGGAATCTAACAGATATCCTATTATTTTTCTTTCACCTGTGAGTGAAACGGCATTCCTAAGGCTACCACACATCAAGTAAGATTAAATGTATCTGTTACAGTGTCTTGGAAATGCCATTCTCTCTGTCACCTGCTGTCCCCTGTTTTTACCACATTGCTGCACTGTTTAGATATTTTCCTCTAAATATGTTCTTAATTTGAAATATTAATAGTCTGTTAATAGGGTTATTCCCTTATGCCGACTCTTAGTAAATAAAGTACGTAATAAAAATCCTTTTTATACTTCTTCTTTCAGGTATAGACTAAATACCCAATAGTATTTGAGGGAAAAATAATGTCTTCCTGCTGTTTTGATAGCTATGGAGTGGTAAAAGATGTCATTACACTTAAACCAAGTGATTTGATTTTTATTTTTTCCGGAGGAGTCTTTACTTCAACGTATTTCTACCAATGCATATTGCATTTGCAGAAAGATTAAAAGACACAGTGTGAAATGCATCTATCATGCTAATGATAGCAACATTTACATAAATGTTAAATTCACATTCCAAAGTAGTTGATATTTTGAGAAGAGAAAATTCCATTATTGCACCTTTTAGAACTGGAAAATGGCATTTTTCAAAAGTCTTCAGCAGAATCTACCCTCAGTGTCCTCCCTGGTGGACACAATCAGTAACGCTGTAGAAGATCTGAGCACTGTGGTTGGGGAAGTCAGCTATGTGCTAACTGACTCAGTCGCTGGGCAGGTAGCAAGTATGATGCATGGCTTTTGCCCAGAGGAGGAGAGCTGCATGGCAGAAGAGGCTGCAGGGTCTTCTAAAGCCAGAAGTGCAGTACTGTGGGATACTTCCATAAAAACTGCTTGTCTGAAAACACAGTCTGATAGAGAGCACAAAGCAAAGCAAATGACCTATTGTGACACTTCAGCTCCACAAAAGCAAGAACAGGAAATGCATAAACAGGGATTTTATATTCATGATGGGCAGTGGGCACCCCCAGAAAACAAAGAAGCTAGAGGTGCTTCTGGTGGTTCTGCTTTGCAAGACCTCGTAAATGATGGTATATCAGCTGTCAAGCAGAAAATAGGGGCCATATCCACTTGTCATGAACTGGAGCGTCTTGATAACTGTGAGACAGCTGGAGCAGGAGGCTCCAGGAATGATCAGAATGGTTTAGAGGAGGTAAGTTCTCTAGGAGTGGAAGGGGATCTGAACACCTGTGGACAAGATGTTGCATCTCAGCAGAAGTTCTCAGCTAAAGCCAGACTGCAGCACATACCTGTGGGAGCAGAGCAAGAGACATCAGGGAACTTCACTAAAAACAAACATCTCACTGATTTGGAGCATTCTCATCATTTAACAAAAACTAAAAAATGTAATACACATGATGGATTCAAAGAGAATGAGTGTTCAGGAAACAAATGTTCTCCAGAAGATAACAGGAGAAACAACAGACACAGGGCACAGAAATCCATTGGGAAGGAATACACAGGTTCAACTCCATCAACAAATTCTAATATTAAGTTTCCCGGGAAAATCAAAGAAAAAATAAATCCAACAAAGTACTACAAAGTGAAAGGAGACATAACAACAAAGAAAAATGAAGCTAATCCTGCTAAGAGAGGAACTGCAAAGAGTAGAGTTGGCAAATACTCTAAGATATTACCAGAGAAAGGTGAGGCCTCCTAATGCTGGTTTGAGTGCTTAAATTCTCTCTTGATGCTTAAAACTAAAAAAAAAAAAAAAAAAAAAAAAAAATTAAATTTCTCAACTTTCCTTCCCATGTCTTATCTAATTTAATTTTTTTATTTGATCAAGATATTTTGAGACATTTAGAGTTTTTCAATCATTTTTAGATAATAAATGTTATTTTATACCACCAGGTATTGCCTATGATCCCTACACTATCTGAGCAATTTCCAGCAGTCCTGATGTTTCTTTTTCTTTTGTGTGTGTGTGTGTGTGTGTGTGTGTGTTCTTGTGAGCAGAGTTTCACTGTGCAGTTCCAGTTGGCCTGAAACTCACTATATAACCTAGGCTGGCCTTGAGCCTGAGATACTCCTGCCTGAGTCTCCACTTCTGGGATTGGGTGTGAACCACCACACCCATTTCCTGATTTTAACTACAATTTATTTTAATCCTAGAAATTTTATTCAGACTTTAAATAGGACTTATTTGGTGTAATGCTCATATATTTAAAATTTTGTTTTATGACTAAGTCTACCAATGAGGTTCTTTGTAAAATATTTCGTATGTTTCTTGAAACCAATAGCTCCTATATTGTTAAATAATATGCTTCTGGATATGTCTTTATTCATTTGCATTACCTTAAAACTTTCATGAGATTGCTCTAGTTCATAATGACTGTTCATAAGCAATACATTTTTATTCATGAGTTCTTCATATAGAATTAAGATTCTGAGTAAGTATTTACAATGTCCAGCTACAGTATTTGTGAGTTTTCTAAACATCTTTGCAGTACATACTTCTGATAATTGCTTCTAATACTCCTTCATCACTCCTTTATTGCTTAGCTAATGAGAATGCCCTCCAAACACTGGCTTTTTTTTTTTTTAATAAAACATACACCTCTAATTTTCCTACAAACTTATATTCCGGCAAGATATCAAAACCTGAGTAACCATAAAAATAATGGAAGACTTTACAGTTCTGCTATGTGATTCATCTGTAAGAAGGTCTGCAGTATATTGAACAGTAGGTTTTTACTGACATCGGAGAAGCCGATCCTAGACTGAAGAGCAAGTTAAAAAGAAATAGAATTTGTGAAAGTGTATTCATTATAGAGTCCATTCTCGTAGCAGCTGTGATTCACTGGGCTTTGGTGGTCTTATTTAGTTCTGGCAGCTTCATTACTTATGAAGAAATAAAACAACCGAATATTTAGAAAATGACAATAGGATGGCTACCAGGAATAAATACAGTTACAGTAGCACTACAAAATCTTCTGTTTGCTTTGCTTTGTTTTTATTGAGGAGCACTCTGGCGTCTCAAGAAACTAAAGGCTCTCAAATATCCCAAAGAAGAGTCAAACATTGACCTTAACTAGTCCCTTGAAAAAAATTGAAAGTGTTTTGACCTGTAGGTTAACCTTTCATTTAGTTGAATTGTTGCATTCCTAGAAACAGTGTGCTAGACTCTCACATGGGAGATTCAGACATAAGAAAGAAGAGTTTCTCTGATTTTGCATGTAAGAAATTCTGGAATAGAGGAAGTTTGACTGCAAAGGGGCCACATGAGGGTACATCCATGAGGAACTCACAGTTTTCCTCTGCCTTTAGGCCTCAATCTGGTATTTCACAAGACATTCACACCCTGAGCTGGGTGTCAGAAGGGCTTGGTCTAGTTATCACAGTACTGTCTAGCCAGTGATGATAATAATGATGGTGAAATAGGAATGTCTGCATTGTTCCAGATTAACCACCAGCTACATATAGCTCTACACACTGTAAGTGTGGCTGGTCAATTGGAGATACCTGTTTGGAGATACCTGTTCAGACATCATGAGTAGTGAACTCTTAATTGCTCTACTGTTTCTTAGAGAATTTAAACGTTATACCTCATAAAATTTAGGTATGATTAAATAAAATTTTCCTAGTAATTTAACTTTTCACTTGTAGTGTTTTAAGTTTGCTGTATATCCATGTATATACTGCATGTTGAAATAAGTATACTATCTATTAAATAAAAATATAATTGGACCTTCTATTCTTTCTTTGTGAACCATGAGTTTACTCACTCATGTTATGTGTATGTTGAATGGATGTGCCATCACTTGCCTAACCAAGGTTCACTGATAGGCATGTTGGTTATATAGAAATGAAATTTTCAAAGACCACACAGAGTTTGATGTTGGATTTGTTTTGTGAGTTTGCTCTGTAGAAAACTTATTCAAGTTGCTCTCCCAGTGTGTCTGTGTCTGCTCATTTCTCTGCTCCCTGTTAGCATGAAGCATTGCTAATTCTGAAAATATAGGCCAAATGAAAACCAGAAATTGGTCTTATGACATCGTTTTACTCTAGTGCTTATGGAAGCACTGTCAGTGCTTATAATTTAATTTGTATATAACAGATCCTTTACAAAATTGTGCAATGTGGCAACTATAATTTCCTTTGTACCTGAAAAGGTTACAAACCCCTATAACTTAGATTATTTATATAACTAGAATATATAATGTAATATTTCCTATAAACACATAAAATTCTAACAATTGGTATTCTTACATGAAAAAAATATTTTCTAAAGTTGAAATTTTGTGTCATTACATACATACATATGCATCCACATGAATGTTACAATATACTTCAAATTCAGTTTAAGGGATTATCAAGAAGTTCATTAATTTTAAGGATCGTTCTAATTAGCTTCACCCTATGTATGTGCCCACACGAACACATACATTTTCATTACTGCTTGTGTTTGTGTGTATATATGCATGCATGTTTTTAAAAATTTGTCACATGTAAGTATATTAAAATTATAATTCCTCTCACTGTTATCCAAATAGATAATTCCTACATGGACAGAGATGAGCCTGGTTCATCCTCTGAAAGTGAAGATGAAGCTCTGGGTAAATATCATGAGGCCTTATCCAGAACACACACTTCCAGGTGGCCATTGGTGGATTCTAGACAAAAGAACTATGCCTGGGAAACAAGGCAAAAATACAGCCCTTTGTCTGCAGAGTATGATGGGTACAGCAGTGAAGCATCCATCGAGGATGGTAAGAAAGTTAATTTTTTTTAAACTATGAGATGATTTGTACCTAAAATTGTAGGTATCTCTGGTTATACACTGAGAGATACAGTGTAGGGTTCTGTTTCTGAGCATAATCCAAAGAGAAAATTTGGGGCTGACCATGAAAACCAGCTTCAAAACACACAAAAGCAAAATGCCAAATGATCACCTGGATGCGGTAGTGGAGTTTTACGCACAGAGCACAATGCTGACATGAATGAGGAGAGAGTGAGAATGTGCTGTTCCTCAGGTGCAGGCAGTTTTCATGCATCTGTTACAGAAACCAGGAGGGTCTGAGTCAATAGACTATAACTCTGAGCCGGTCTCCAAAATCAGCCAGGTGCCTTAGACAGCACATGGAGAGTGATGTGATGGTCTCTGTGCAGAGTACTTTCTGAGATTGGGTACAGTATTTATACTGGTTTTAAAAGCAATTCAAAGGATTTTCAGGGGTTACAGTAATTTCAAGTATTGTGTTAATAATTAGTTTTGCCTTATTTGCTTATGTAGACTTCAGAACAAAATCTGGGCAGAAGATATAAGCCCATTCATACCTTTCCATAACAGAAAGGCAAAAAGGTTTTGACATTAGTTAAAGCATATTTATTTTTACATTTAAACACATTGTTTGTTTGCTGGATAGAATGGCTTCTCATTGTAACTCATTATCGATACACACCCAACTATCTTTGATTTTGTAATTGGAATTTGTCTTTTAGGACTTTTCCTATTGATGGTTTAAGTATTATCCCAATTTGTTAAGTAGCCAAAGGAACAAAATGATATACATTTGTGTTTGGCTTCTTGATAACTAAAGATACATGTCAATTTTTATTTCTGTTAGTATACAGGTGTAACAATGTATGAACTTTTTACCAGATAGAAGACTCATTATAGGTATAATGAAAGAAATATTAGACATGGGCTCCACTCGAAACGATGTCTATGTAGTAGTACATGCAAGCTATGTATCTGCAGAGGTAACTAAATAATGCAAGCTAGTAAAGCCATCCTGCAATTTATATGTACCTCTGGCACCCAAACAATACAGCAGAAGAAGAATGGCCATGAATCTGATCTTGGATGACATTCACCCCATATCTTGTCATCTGTTAGCCATGAAAACCTAAGGAGTATTTCATTGTGTCTAACATGTGAATAGTCTCAACCTGGTTGAATTGTCCTGAATATCAACTGATAGATGGTACATGACCAGTTAGCATTGCTGAAGATAAGATGTAATAAAAATCATCATGGTGATGGGCACTGAGCAAGTCTAAGTTTGAGTCTGTGACCCTGGGTACTTCCATTCTTCAGATGGAATTTAGGATCTTTTTCTTTATTTTCTTTTCCTCTCTTATGCCTGATTGCCTTTATGGTCCTTTTATTCTAGAGTTCCCAGTAGCCTCCTTCTAATGAGGATCAAGGCCTAATTTTGGTGGGTCTTGTACTTGCCATCATTTAACAGCTGCTATAATTTTGGAGACAGGGTAGCGATAGGGCAGACTTTGTAGTGATACACAAGCTATAAGGTACACAATGGAGGAAATATTTCAGGAACAAAGAAGGCTTTTTGTCACAAACACTGGATATGTGTTGCGTATACATAATAGGAGGTACCAGTTGGAAGGGAGATGAGAACTGAACCTGCCCAGTTTGATAGCCAGAAAGAACGCACTAAAGGTCTTGCCTTCAGAAAGCATGTGTAGAAAGATTAACAGTAGGAAGGTTGTAGGAAAAATCAGTGAAGACAGACTTGAGAGCTATCTGCAGGAAACGGGGAAAACCTGAATCACTGTAGTGGTGATAGGAATTTGGAGGACAGGAGTATAGAAGTGGGGTTTTCTGGATTTAGGACCACAGTGTATTTTGAACATCAGGAAAAGAGAAGGAAGCATTAAAAAAAAAACAGTATGGTTTTCGTCATATATGAGAGAAAATAGTGGAGTCCCTACTGTGTATGTGGGATCCAGGGAGGAATCTACTTTTTGTTGGGAGTAAGGAGTAGGGATAGTGATTTCTGGTGTTTATATCTATATTAAGGTAGCATATGAGAGCAACTGAAAATGGTTATTGAACTTGTAGTTGTGAGTAGACTTAGTTAAGAGGTTTTCAGAAGACATTTGCTTAGAAATCATTAGTGTGAATTAAACTGATAGAGACTGTGTGAAGAGGAAAATCACACATAAAGAGGCAGCGGAAAGATAGTAAAGAGACCTAGTAAATTCGGAGAAAGTACATAGTCATCTGATGGGAGATGTCATTCTGTATATATGTTTCTCATACTGGTTAATGAATAAAGCACTGTTGGCCAATAGGATAGGAAGATAGGAGGGACTAGGAGACAAGGAGGAAAGAGGAAGTAGTAAGGAGGAGTGAAGATGGAGAGTCTGGAGAAGGCAGAACCGCCAGCCGCTTCTCACTGGTAAGACCACGTGGAAATACATAGAAATGGGTTAATAATTAAGACAGAGCTAGCTGATAAAAAAACTAGTACCTGGATATCAAATACAGAGTCTCGGTGTATTAATTGGGGCTGGTGCGGCGGCGGGACCAGACCAGCAGCAGGAGGAAAAACCCTACTCCTTACAGTCATCCGTGGTTAAAGAATTTTAAGGAGAGGGGAGCAATTAGCCTAGTGAGAATTCACACAAACCCTCTTTTCTAATAGAAGTTGTATTTTCAGTTGAAGTAATAATAGACTAGAGTAATAAATCAGAACATGTCTTGGTAAGTGTCGGGTGTATGGTAGAAAGTATGCATCTCTGCCTACCTGTCATTACAACTCACTGGCTTGAAAGAGAAGTTGGAAGATTTGTAGTGAGTGTACTGTGGACCTCCTCCCTCCAGCCCTTGTCTGTCTGTAGTTCTCCTTTGTTGTATAATTGGGAAGGAGGAGTTTGTCCCGAAACACACTGCACTGCTCAAGGCACTACTCAGGGTATGGTTGGTCACTTGGGACAATATGCATGCTTGCTACTGCTCAGTTCCCTTCCTCTATGTATATAGTCCAAGATACCTGCCAGGGACAGGTCCTACCCACCTTGGGCTGGTCTTTCTGCCTCACTTAGCTGAGTCATGGTAGTCTCCCAGAGGTGTGGCCAGAGGCATGTCTTGCGGGTGATATTAGATCTATTGAGCAGACAGCATTAATCACCACAGAGCCTACACTGCTTCTAGTGCTCTGAAGTACTCCACTGTCACCTGTATCCATAAAGCAAGGCAGGAAGCTGCAGCCTCAGCTTACCCACCCTACTTCTCATGACTTTAAATGAAAATAAACTTAGTTGTTTAAAACCATAATCTAAATTTAATCTTTAAAAATCCCAGTTCTCAGTATGACAATACAACTTGGATTTGTAATTTTATGTTCACTTAGTTGTTGGCGAAATGTCATATAATCTAGTGTTATCTGTGAGCTTTGCTATTTGGATCTCATTCTACTTCATCTCTTTAACTAGTTAGAAATTTTCCCCTCAGCCTACTGTTTCCTTATTTGCTTCTTCCTTTTCAATATTATAAAGATAGTATAAAGATCTGTACTACAATAGCTTTATAGTTTGGCAACACGTGGCAGAAAATATGAACCTATCACTTAGAAAGAAAAATGAGATATACTTTACTTGTGGTTGGTTCTTACCCAGCATTAGTGGCAACTCCTCCTCAAGCTATAGCTTGAGGACACTGGCTTGAATGATACATGGCTATGTGTGTGCTGCATTAGCCTGTGGGTGGGAAATGTAAGTGTGCTCCAAATGTTAAGTATCTGGCAGTGTATAGGTGGCAGGTTAAAGACTGAACCAATGACCAACTGCATATAAGAAGATTGGATGTTTACAGTGAGAAACTGTATGGGGGTGATCTGTGCAAATGGTTGGCCTCCAGTGTGGTAAGCTGTTTGGTCCTCCATAAAACAAAAGGATGCCTTCTGGTAAGTGTACTAGATCAGTGCTCTTTTTTTTCTCATTTCATGAACTTCTAGGAGAAAAACTGAATTGTGTGGTGGTAGATAAGGATTGCCTTTCACAGGCTGTAGCTGATTGTTCAGGCATTTTCTAACCTATTTTAAAATAATATTTTATTCTAAAATTGCAATGTTACAAATGATATTGACATTCTGGTCTCATAAAATTCTGTGTCTTTCATTCTCATTTGAAACAATTCTATGTACAGTTCTTATCTTTGACATATTTCATATAATTCTAGCTATCCATTGTCTTTAAAGCTGTAATAGTTGTTTAATTATGAAATAATAGCTAGTTCTAGAGTTTGGTACTGGATGTTGTAATTTTCATAGTTTATGTGCTGATTAGTATATGTGTAAATACACATATACTTGTGATTTAGTAAATTTGATGCATATTCTTTTGCATTAATAGTAATTTTATTGATTCACAACAGATCATAGACACTAAAAATATTAGTTTTTGTTATGTATAATAGAAATTTCTTTATTTTGTTTTTTAAGGAGTTCCAGCATCTATCAGAGACTGGAATAGAAATTATATGTCTATCTAGCCTAACTCGGCCTGAAACTTACAAACCTCTTCCCTCAACCTCCCAAGTACTAGGCTCACAGACTATGCCACCACAGCTGACTTTAGCATTTTCATGATTTCAACTTTTTAAACTTTGTTTAGTCGTTTTAAAATTTTGAATTTCTTACTTTGTTTTCTTTTTACGGTACTTTTATTTTTATCTCATTGATTTAAATTATTTTTATTAATTCTTTGAGCATTTTAGACAATGTATTTTGAGCAGATTAACCCCCAGCTTCAGCCCTTAACTCTTCCAAGATCCTTTACCTCCTCCATACTGCCTCCAACTTCTTGTTTTCTTCTTTGTTTTAATATCCCATCAAGCCCATGGACTCCAGTTTTTCCATGTGTTTCTGGAGGCAGGAACAACTCAAAAAAAGCAAAAAAATAACCCCCCCCCCAACTGAGTATTAAGAGAACATTATATTTCAACTAGGTAGAATAGAAG